TATGTATGTATGTATGTATGTCTGTCTGTCTGTCTGTCTGTCTGTATGTATGTATGTATGTATGTATGTACGTGTGTATATGTATATGTATATGTATGTATGTAAGTATGTATGTATGCATATATATATATATATATATACGCGGACGTATGTATATATATATATACAAATATATATATATATATACATGCATATATATACATATAATTATGTGTATTGTTTGTTCAGCTTGTGCAAAGGGTGCCATTGCTTGTGCATGTATACCCTGTGTTCGATGGTATTTGCTATTTTAGAATGATTTAGTGCAGGTGCCCTTGTGAGGTGTACAAACCCGTGGCTGGCCAAATAATTCACCACAAACAAGTACCTACCTTCCTCCTTGCGTTTTTGGTTCCCTTTATGGTGTCAGTTTAGGCGTTAATGTGAGATGTATATTATCACATGCGAGTTGAGGTGTCGCCCTTGATCTCCCACCTGATAGTACAGCAACTAGAAAGTCTGTATCATATTATTCATGCAGGTGTCGCATCTCATGACCTGTCACGATCTGTATAGTAGGCTATTATATTGTTCCTTTACGTTGCATGCATCTATCGATTTGACTACTTACATATACTTTCGCTAACTTCTATCGATTTGCCTATTTACACACTTTCGCTATTTTCTATCGAATTAGCATCTACCTTGGCTAACATCCATCGATTTGCCTGTTATCATATATTTTTTGCTATTATCTATATCGATTTGCCTATCAACATCTACCTTTTGCTAACATCCATCGATTTGCCTATTTACACACACTTTCGCTAAATCGAATTAACATCTACCTTTCATTAGCACCCATCGATTCGCCTGTTAACATCTACCTCTCGCTAACATCTATCGATTTGCCCATTTACATCCACCTTCCACTACTCGATGTTGTTGATACACGCGTTCTAAGTCCAAATTTTGTATAATCTCCATCTTTACCACGTGGTTCAGTATTTGTATATGTTGCACTACGTTTCATATAGATGGAAGTGTCGTAACTTATGACCAATCTCGGGTCAGTTAGAACCTGAAGGCCCAAACTCTTCATCCAGACAATAATGTACGCGTATTACGAGCTGAAAACCTTGCTGTTAAGTAATTTCCAATTCAATTTCAACGCGATCTTTTCATGAATGCCCGTCTTTTGCTTCCGACAGATATGTAGTACGCGACGAACTGGCGGGATTCGCAAAGCTGTTCAGAGATCACAAGGCCTATAAGTGCTTTGTGGACGGTCTTCGGAGGGAACGTCGTCTAAGGCGGCGGATTGAAACACTGCAGAATTATCGAACATTGGGTCTGACGGACTGGGAAAGTGTCGATAAGTTTAAACAAGATAGCAGAGTTAGAGATGCGGCGAAGGAGGGTTGCCATGGCAACCTTATGGATATCCGAAGGGATGTGCGGGGAACCGACAGTAGTCTAGCAGTTAGCTTACAAGGAAGTAGTATTGTAGCGGCGGACACTGTTACAAGCACGAACGGGCCATCAGAAGAACACGCATCAGACAGTGACAGAGGCACTCAAATGACAAGACTGGACGACGCTTACGATCTACTGAACGCAGGGGAACTACAGGCTTGCGAGGATAGTGGGTTCACGCCTGTACAGTATATTACGGTGAAGGTACGTATGTGCGAACATTGACATGTATCTGCTTGTATGTACGTTTTTATCTGCCATACCCGCCCAGCAGTGTATACGTATTATTTTACGAAGATCAGCCTTGCGAATGGCGAAGAGCTCACTAGCGTCATGCATGATCTTTGAATTTTAATCTAGAAGCTCCGATGCAATATATTTAGTAGTGTTCTCACCCAACGTTCAAAAGATGCTTCCTGAAACCGCACTTATTTCTCTTATACCAGCTGCACTGACTGTATATATGTTGCACTTTTCTCAATATGTTTTCAGACTCCTGATAATTCACTGGATCATTTTGCTTCAATATAATTGTAGATATGATTCTCTCGACCATTGTATTCTAATACTTTGATTGTAGATATGATTCTCGACCATTGTACTCTAATATGTAAGAGTCTTGCCCCATCCCTTCTTCCTACAGAGCTTATTACTTACGTCCCAGGACTCTCTAAATGAATATGTCACCGAGGAGAAGAAGGAACGCATTAAGAAACTACTGGTTAAGGAGAGGATATACCCGGAGACAACTGCTGAATAATACATATAAATAAAATATTAGCTAATCATTGATAAACCATTCGTTTGTACTGCCGGAATTGCCTGAATTGATTAAGTTTGACAAGGCAACTGCTGAATAATACATATAAATAAAATATTAGCTAATCATTGATAAACCATTCGTTTGTACTGCCGGAATTGCCTGAATTGATTAAGTTTGACAAGTATCTACATTGTGATTTTCTAATCGAATGAGGGTATCAGATTATCGCGTTCACATCCGGCAATCTTACATGTACCAGTGGAATAAATATTCTCCGTCCCAGCGACGGCTTCGATGGATGTCCCACAAGTTTCTGATAGTCTATTAAGTATGCACGCCACGCGGCTGTTATGAGCTGGATCAGGACTGCTTTCAGATGGAGAGCTTGAAACGTGTGCATGAGCAGACAGAGGCTATCAGCTCCCGCTCTACTTTTACTGCCATGTGAGCTGTGTGCAAAGCCTCCATCCCAGATTGCAATTTCCTCAATCAGGAATCGAACCCAGGGAATACGACTGATTATCACCAGCTTGATCCTCAGAGGCCGGTCTACGAATCGTACTTTTGTGCCTCTCGCGCTTTCTGAGATGAAAGTCACGCATGTCGCCCTGATCATCCGAGTACAGGTAGCATGGTAAACGATTGTTTGCAGCCAACTGAAGATATATGGCTATTCTTTACCATACTGCGGTAAATGATCATTGTCGTATATTAATGTCATCAACAATACTTTCAAAACGCATACGCACACGCACAGCGAGGCTAAGTTCACTGTCTCCATCTGCTTGTTCAGGAACTAGGCAGGTCCCTTATTACCCCAGGGGCTCAGCTCAACTAAAACCGCGCTAGGTGGGATAGCAATTTATTGCCTGGCGATACCAAAAATTGCAACAATTCGAATGCACGCACATTTGATCTATTGGCACATTTGATAGGCTGTTGACTAGGGCAGTTTGAAAACATCAATCAGCACACCAGTTTGAAAGTATTTTTTTCGTACACAGAGAAATTGATTTAAACGTGATATAGTTACAAGTGGGAATTGATTTATTTCAGCGTATGTCTATCATGAGCACTCACTCGCAATTCATACCATCTGGAGGCAGCTGAGTCGTCACCTGCTCACTATTGAGCAACAACTTGTTCATGCCTGTACTGGCTATGCATATATCATACAATACGCATGCTTTTCTTAGCTACATATTCCGCATGCTTTTGTTAATTACATGCTTTCGACGCTCTTACGCGCGAGTCCATGCTCTTGCAGCCGCCCTTGTTAAATCGGGTTTTACTAATGATTATTCCGGGAACGATGATACCGGGTTGTGGGGTTGTGACTTACTCAAGCCCTGATCGATTCCCGAGCCTGCTGCCGCGACCCTGAACCTTGCCTAGATCTCGAGTCTGTCAATGGAACGGACAATCCGAATGGTTTAGTCCATGCTCAAAAGGGTGCGGGTGCGACAATTCAAAGGACAACATTGTAATGCACATTATTTTATGGTATTCTTTCAAGACAAGCATTATTTCACATCTTGATTTTAAATTTTGTGGGGGCACATAATATAGTAATTCACGAACACTGTCAATCTAGAACAACTACGAGCAACCATGAGCGTGTACTGCTCTGCGAGACGATGGTCTCAACCTTAAGATCTTAAGCACTAACATCTGATAAGGTAGGGTAAACATTTGGCTTGTATGAAAACGAAGTTAACACAATATAGCCAGTTTCACTGTATGAGTCTGGATTGATTCTATTCCACTTTCTATTGCACACCTGTATTTTAATATCTTTCAAATCTCACTTACTATTACGACGTATTTGTGAAGGTGTTGTCGAGCGGCCGCGATGCTCTCGCCTCCTACTTCCTTCGATTTCCCCCTGTGCACGTACCTGCAGAAGTTGGTTGCGAATGGAGTGATTGCGAATGGAATTTTAGGGGTTCAAGGTTTTAGGCTTTAGGGTTCAGAGTTAGGGATTATAAATATCTCATCACAAGCCTGTCAGGAAGGCTGCCTGGTACATACCAGCCAGATGAAATTGCGAGTGGCACCGATCAAGCCACAAAGCATTCGTCGGTATGTGGTGACAGTACTAGCCAATATTCAGTTAGCAAGGGACAAGCGTATGGAAAACTAATACAAACAAAAACATATGTTACTACTACTAAACGCAAGCCAAACAAGCGAAATACATACCCTCTCGAGTTCTAACGCTTGCAAATTTGCCTTCAACAACTCATTTTCCCTTCGTGCTGCTTGTAAGTCTTTGCTTTGCTTAACACTAAGGCGGTTCATGGCGTCGAAGCTCTCTGCATGGGAAAAAGAATGGTGCTGTGCTATTCAGAATCTCCAAGGCAACATGGTGTATTGTATTATGAACATGTTTGCGGCAGGTCTATGACACAATACATATAGGCGAGCAAATCTTACCTAGGTAAAACTAACGCGCGTTATAGTACAACAACTAGAATTGATATCGGCTTATCGTTCAATAACCAGATAACTATTAAGAATAAACCAAAAACAAATTCACTAACCAGAATAAACACACAACGTAGTTAAGCAATATCTAGGATCATTTGTACAACAGCCAGAGCCTGTGCTAGCTCACAATTTACATCATTTATACCTCTCATTTTCTTCTCCGAATCGTTCTTGCCATTCGAAGAAGCTGAGCGTGTGGCATCCCTGCTTTCCAAACTGGCAACCTTCTTTTTCAATTGCTCAATAAGGCGTTCCTTCGCCTTGGTAGATCTGATCGAATTCCGTTCTAATTCAAACTTCTCGTCTTTGATCGCCCTGTGAAGTATCGAGTTGCTGGTTTCGTCAGATTCTAGATTCCAGTCTAAGATATATATAGCAAGCACAGACCTAAAACTATATAGAAAGATCACAGAAGATTCTACATTCCAGTCTAAGATATATATAGCAGGCACAGTCCTAAAACTATGTAGAAAGATCACAGAAGATTCTACATTCCAGTAACATCTATATAGCAAGCACAGATCTAAGACTACAAAGATAGATCACAGAAGATTCTACATTCCAGTAATATATATATAGCAAGCACAGACCCAAGACTACAAAGACAGACCAAAGACCATGTATTTGTTGTTCCTCACCGTTTTCTATGGTGGCTCACGTCAACCATTCCTGGACAATGCAGACAAATATCTACACACAATCACTCACACTAACCAATACTACTTATACGACAAAAATATACATATAAAATTGTCCACATAGAATTATGATAAAAGGTTAATCACAATTGTAGCATAGTGCCAAACGACCTAGTAGTACATTCAAACGATCAGTAACCCATCGACTGAGTAATGAATAGCACATACTTGAGCTCAGCAGTACGGTCGGTCAGACGCTTCTTAATCCGTTGTATTTCTGCGGCTCGTTTGGCATCCGCACGTTCTAAGAGCGCGAGTTTCTCCGCAATTCCCGGCTGTAAGGATAGTAGGGGGTGTTCGATATACATGTTGGGTTAGTACTATGGAGTAGGGGGTGTTCAATATTTTTTTGGGTTGGTATAAGCAAGCTTGTTCTCCCGGCTAAAAGTCTCTGCCTGCCAATTATCTAAAACGTTTTCATTGGCGGCTGACGCTATGCAAAACGTCCTGCAGCGTCATGGAATAACTAAAAAAATATCATGAATACAAAGGATGCTCAGTGTTCAACTAATAGGATGCGCAGTGGTCAACCAAAGCACGCAAGCAAAAGATATAGCAAGACCCAAACTGAGCGCGTAACCCATGTTTTAGGGTTTAGCTGCGCACATACCGCTGCGCCATTGACCTCGTCCCTTAATTTGCTAATCTTCTGCTCCGCAATGGTGAGTTTAGCTTGTGCCGCCTCAAGCTCTTGGTGCATTTCGCCCATTTTAGCATCCACTTCAACAGATGCTGAGAATATACAGTATGATCAACGTGAGCACCTGCTTGCTACGTAGCTATCGATTCTACAGAATGTTTGCGATCCTGAATGACGGCACTCACAACTGGAAATATTGCTGCAGTGTTGTGTACTGTTAAGGATGGTGAAATTTCCAGCAGACTTTACCATGCTATACAACACTTTTCATAAAAGATACGATAGTTTGCAGGATTTCCAATATGCCCAATACCCAAACTTAGTCGTACAATGTACTTAAAATAGGTTATTCCCCACGCTAGCTAACAGACACGGAAAATACTCCGCAACCAAAACAAACAACTACTGCACTACTTTTAGAGGTCTCAGTTACAAATACTATGATAATCACACATCACATACAGCTGAACAAAGGCGTACCATCCGACGCATGTAGTTGCGCAACAGCATCTTCCCTCAACGATTGCTCACGCGCACACTCATCGGTCAGCCTCTTAATCTTCCTTGTGAACTCGCCCTTCACCTTCTCGAATTGAATCATCTGCTCAGTTGCATCAGTCATTGCTTTTGCCTTCTCGCTCTCAAGCTGTTTCTTGCTGGCCTCGATTCTAGCGATTTCTGAGGCTCTCTCCGCCGCTTTCTCTTCTTTCGCTTGTTCGAGTTTCTTCTCCAGCTCTCTGCACATGGCTTGGCTGCAAGGCACGAATCGATATTGGTATTGATGTAATTAGTTGGGATACTACATTTCAAACTTCATCAGGTGCCACACATTCGACAGATACATCAGCTACGTATACTTACTTCACACACACACACACATGCCAATAAAACGACTTCGAATCAGCTTGCCCACCATTCTACAGCAAGATCTAGTTTCGCAAGGACGTCGTCGAGCTCAGCTTCGGTTTCATCCGCCTCTGTTTCCATAGCGGCAATCTGCTCTGTCAGAACAGATACCTTCTCCTCTGCCAAACGCAGCTTGAAGTCAGCATCGCCAGTGCCAGTATTCATTTCTTGCATTTTCCTCTCGAGCTGTGCAAAGTTGAGCATACAAATACAATCGGTATTAATTAAGATACACCAATATAGCTAGAGACAATCGATGTGGGTTATATAGAGTATGGTCTGTGAAACTAGGCTATATACCAAAACTCTTCCTTCAACAAACAAACACCCGTCCCTTGCCCATTTTGGGGACCTTCAAGGTCCAAAATAAAAGCTTTCTGAGCGGCTGAAATTATACACACTTCCATGTATATCATACATCGTCTCGGATGTCCTCCAGCTCAAACACTTGCTTGCGCAGTTCAGACGCCTGCGCGGTGCTGTCGGCCAATTCCTGTCGTAGAGCCTCTACTTCTTTCCTCAACTCGTCGCATTGGCTCTCGTTTGTCTCAGTCGCGCCTCTGAGCTCAGCCGCCTCCACTTCCAGCTGAAGAATCTAACGGTTGCAAGGTTCAGAGTGACAAGTAAATTGTGAGGCATACTGCGTGTGGAAACGAGGTGAACAGTAAGCATAGGAAACCAATATGCCCGTGGCTTCTAAAATATTATCGTAGTCTGATCACAGCCACGTACCTCTTTGTTTAGCTTCTCATTCTTCTCGCGTAGTTCTTCATTGTCTCTGGCGTAGTCCTCATCATTACCACTGGTAGACTCCACGTAGGCCGAGCGGACCACGCTGAGCTCTTTCTCGAGTACCTTGATGCGTTTCTTGAGCTGAGAAATTGAAATTGTTACCATTAAAATTCAGAATCAGAAATACGATATACTATAGATATACAAGCGAACGAATCTTCGTTCGATTCCTTTTTGAATGCATATACAAATCTCATGGAAGGTGGTGAACTCTGACAGCCCATATAGTCGCCACGTAAATCTGGAGCTGAAGGTACGACTGCATATAACGTAGACACAAAAAGGGCTTAAGTGGGCCAAGTCAAAGGTGTATGGTTATCTGATAGTCTGTGCCACCACGATGTTCTAGACATGTGTAAATGTGTAAGTGCATACTATAATACTACACGAGATTGAAGACAAAAGTAATATGTCCTAAATCCTCGCACATACCTGCACCACATCCGAGCCAGCCTCCAACATCTCGCCAGTACTCATATGGTCATCATCTGAGACAACCTCCTGCGCGTCAGCGAATACTTCACGCTCGCCCAAGTCTTGGTGGGTGGCCTCGACTGCCCCACGCATCTCCTCGATCTTCCACCGCAGCATGCTCACCACCTCCTCGTCTCTGGCATCCCCTGCCTCGTTCAGCCGGCTCTCCAGATCCAAGCACTTCTGCTCGAGCGCCTCGCACTGCTTAGTCAAGAACTCAGACTCTGTGTACAATTCGTCACGTTCTTTCTTGAGCGCATCGAGCTCGCGTTCATTCTCTGCCACTAGATGAGACCGCTCCTCCCCGTCAATCTGTAGCTTGACCTCCAACTCCGTGACCCGATTTGCCAACTCCGTATTGCGGGACTCCAAGTCCGCCTTGCGGTCCTGCAGCTCGCCCTTGCGTGTCTCGGCCTCTGCAAGCGTAGCCATCAGTTCATCACTGCGTGCTTCCAGCGCACTGTACCGTTCCTCCAGCTCGATGTTGGCCTTCTCTAGTGCGGCACACTCGTCCTGCAAGGCCGCGGTGTTCCCGTCGGACTCGCCCTCCAGCTCCTGCAGCGCCTCTTGCAGGCCAATGGTCTTTGCCAGCAGCTCATGTACACGATTGTCCAATTCGACACTGCGCGCGGTGGCTGCCTCGGCCTGTTGCTGCGCACTAGCTCGTTCGCTGCGCACCTCCTCCAACTCGCTCGTGAGCCCCTCATTTTCCTGGCGCGCACGGTCAGTCTCCTTCTGCAGTGCTTGTATTTGTTCTTGAGACTTCTCTACCTCGGCTTCAGCGCGTTCCACGTCTGCTTCGAGCCTACTGACGGTCGCTTCCAGATCAGCAAGCTTCGCATGGGTTTCCTGGGCATCTGCTTCGCTGGCTTGTAGTTTGCGAGACGTCTCCTCGACCAGATCACGGAGCTGTGGGGAGGATATAGCAGTCACGAGTTTGGTTGAGAGCCAAATTAAGCGAAATGTCAAATAGGGCGACATTATAGCCGCACGTAGTTGCGATGTGTGCTTGTAACGCATCGATGGCTCTCGATCACTCACTGGCTGACGTAAGAACCATACGCTAATGATAAAAGTTTGTACTAGTTTACGCGAGCGTCGTCAGTATTTAGACTGATAAATATAATAGAGAAAGACAGAGCGAGCTCTCGTTCTCCTGCGCATGCAGGACGAATCCGATTAATTTTAAATATTATAATCCGGAAATTAGCTGTGGCTAGCAATCATTTACATGTATATTGAAAAAAAACTGATTCTACAGCACGTGCAAAACCAGACACGGAATTATAATAATATACCCCTCTCACATACAGTACTCCATATATACATATTGCATCATACACAAAGAACCACTCTCTCACACACCTTCTCCTTTTCCTCATCGTTCGTATGGGACTCCTCCGCGATCGCCAGTTTCTGACGAAGCTGATCCACATCCGCTAAGGCGATGTCCAGCTTGATCTTGAGCTCTGGAATTTCGGCGGCCAGTGCCTTCAATTCGCTCACCACGCCTATCTCCTGCTCCAAAATATCCCGAACCTCGGCCAACTCCATTTGCGCCGCCTCTGCCCCCATGTGGCTCTGTGCCAGCTCTGCGGCTGCATGGTGCTTCTCTTCACTCATGCGGTCCTTCATCTCAGTCATACGCCCTAGCTCGATCACCACAAGCTCCTTCTCCTCGCTCAGACGTTGCATGTCGGCATCGTTGCTTGCTTGCAGATCAGCAAGGTCCGCCTGGGCTTTCGCGAGCGCCACTTGCATTTGCGACTCCATGTCGCGAGTAGTTTCTTGTGACTCATCCAGATCCATGAGGGCCTTAGTGGTTGTAGTGGATTGTTGCATGTTAGTACCAAATTTATATATATAAATAATCTATACTAATATCTCGACATCGTGGTATGGCAGTCTAAAATACCTCGCTGATCTACAACGAAAGAATATGTGGTGGTCTCGTACACACATGTTTGTCACGTGTGATACCTCTACAGATATCACAAGTGGAAACGATACCACACACAGCCTATCCAAGGGGCATTCTTTACTATGCACGGTGATCCTTACAGTGTACACCATATTCTTACTAAATACAATCAGTCCACATCCATGGTAAAAACAACACGTTCTTACAATGAATACTCGGTTTCGTCTGAAATAAATTATTTTCTCTGATCTACCGCATGAGCGAGCATTTGCCCAGTGTCAATGTATTCGGCGTTTCGGATGTAACTCATTGTATGTCTATTGCCAATCGCTCAAGTGTTATATATGTGAACCACCGGCCCACTATATCGAATCATCTCATCACAAAGACTTAACCAATTATACCCGATGATTACCTTTGTGTGCGAGTCTCGGATCCTCTCAAGCTCCTGACTGAGCATTTCCTTCTCCGCAAATTTTTGCTTCTCCTGCGTCGCATTGCTAGTCTCATCCTCAGCCTTCGCCAGGCTATCGGCCAGATCTTGTGTGGTGCGGTCAATAACCTCGCGTAGCTGTGAAATTTCTTCGTGTGCTCTTTCCAGTCTCTCCTGCAGCTCTGCATGCGCCTCGGTGGAGCCGCTTACGACAAGCTCGCGCTCTTCGTTGATGCTCTTCAGCGCCTGTATCTCAGCTTCGTTCTTGTCCTGCAAGGCCTCGAGCTCGCTGAGATGTGCTTCGTTTGTTGCTGCATTACTTTTCAGCACTGCTGCCATCTCCGCCGCATGCATGCCCTTCAACTCGGCCTTATCCCGCTCCAGAGTTTCAGCGAGCTTTGCAAGTGTTTGTTTCTCCTCGTTAGCACGCGCGATATCCTTCTGGATGTGCTCCATTTCCGCGTGCCTCTCTTCACGTTCACGATCCAATACAGCCAAGAGTTCTACCATCTGCGGCGGCATACGGTAGTCGCCTCTTTCTCGGCTGTTCTGTCGAGAACTATTTTGTGAGCCCAGAGCTTCCTCATCTACTTCTTGCACGGAGTCGAGACCTCCTTGTAGAACAGTACCTTCTGTGGAAGACAGTGATCATTGGAAAAATAGTATATTTTAGTATCGTTGAACGTATATGTGGCAAATAAGTAAACGTAAGTATCATATGCGCATGGTTTTACATGTGAATGTCAGTATAATATGGATGCTGGTATCGTATATATAACATCTAGTAGCATACGAATACTGGTATCATATGTATAACATCAGGAATCATATGAATGCTATATCATATGCACAGCATCCAGCATCATGAATGCTATACCATATGCACAACTTCCAGTACCACATGAATGCTATATCAAATGCATAACATCCAATATCATATGTATGCTGGTTTCGTATGTAGAATATATAGTATCACATGAATGCTGGTGTCGTATGTAGAATATTTAGTATCGCGTGAATGCTGGTGTCGTATGTAAAATATATAGTATCATATGAATGCTAGTGTCGTATGTAAAACATCCAGTATTATATAAATACTGGTATAGTTTGTAAAATATTCAGTACCATATGAATGCTATATCATATGCATAAAATCCAGTATTATATGAATGCGGGTGTCGTATGTAGAATATATATAATCATATGAATTCTGGTGTCGTATGTAGAATATTTAGTATCATGTGAATGCTCGTATCGTATGTATAACATCTAGTATCATATGAATGCCGGTGCCGTATGTAAAATATCTAGTACCATATGGATGATGGTATCATGTAAAGCATCTAGTATCTTTGAATGCCGGTGTCGAATGTAGAATATCTAGTATCATATGAATGCCGATGTCCTATGTAAAGCCTCTAGTATCATATGAATGCTGGTATCGTATGGTATCGTACGTATAGCATCTAGTATCATGTGAATGCTGGTATCATATGTATAAGATCTAGTATCATGTGAATGCTGGTATCGTGTGTATAACATATAGTATATTTTTCGTGGCAAATTAGACATACGCACATATTATATGAAGGGCATACTACGGTTATACGGAATGTTAGGCACGTATTATACTGAATGATAGCTACGTGTTAAACTGCTGTAGCTTAGCGCGTTTAAAAAATACGGTAAATAATGTGACAAGACGACTCCCAACCACATAAACACCAGTTGGAATGCAAATATGCCTTCGATACAACTTGTGCACAACTAGCCATGACTGCATCAACCCTACACCTTCATTGCTATACATCACGCCCAGTGGGCGACCATCAGCATCCACTGGGTTGCCGTACTCGTCCGTGTCCCACACATCCTCAATCTCATCAGCAGAGACCGCCTCCTCCTCATCTGAAGCCCTGAAATACCTCATGCGACTCACAGATCGCATGTTCTCATCGTCAGTGTCGTTGTCACCACCTGAGGCATGTCGACTGCTTTGATTCATCTCGCTATTGCGTCGCGCAGACTCCACGTAGTCTACGTCAAAGGCCGGGTCTTCGTCGCCGCTGTCACTGTCAACTACACTCAGATGGTCATTCGAGTCCAAGAGGTCATTTGAATCCAACGACTCCTCCCCCTCAGCAAACTCCAGCAAGTTACGACTGGTCTTGTTCTTTAGTTCTGCCGACTCATTTCTTTCAGTAGGTGCCTCGTCCAGCACAATTGACGGCATAGGCCTGGCAGCAGCCTTTGGCGGTTCAGTGTGAGTAATAGGGACCGTGCCGGTACCAAAGTCGAGTAGATCCTCATCTCCACTCTCACTCATTGAGGCCATTCGATTGAAACCTTTGGGCTCCCCATCCATCTCATCCACAGAGTCAGCACTCATAGCGGCAACACGATTAAATCCTTGCGGTTCTACTAGAGAATCCGTGCTTATGGCCGTAACTCTATCGAATCCTGCCGGCTCTTCTAGTGAATCAGTGCTCATAGCTGTAACTCGGTTGAAGCCTGCTGGTATACCCAGGGAATCAGTACTCAAGTCTGCAACGCGATTGAAGCCTTGAGGCTCTACTATCGAATCAGTGCTCATGGCCGCAACGCGATTAAATCCCCTCGGTTCGTCAACAGGGTCTCTGTCAGAATCAGAAGCATGACCTGCATTCGCCTTCACAACCGCGTCATCTTCGCTATCAGAATCAGAAGCATGACCTGCATTCGCCTTCACAACCGCGTCATCTTCGCTATCAGAATCAGAAGCATGACCTGCATTCGCCTTCACAACCGCGTCATCTTCGCTATCAGAATCACTCATAGGGGCCACCCGATTGAAACCTGTCGCCAAATTTTCTGCACTCTCGTGCAACTCAGCATCGTATCCATCTCCACTATCGCTGACCGGCGCCACACGATTGAAGCTGGAGCTCTCAGAACCTTCGGTATCCAGTAGCGTCACTAATGGCCTGGATTGTGCAATTGGCGGAGTTGTGCCCCCTTCAATTTCCGCGTTGCTTTCACTACCGGATGCCTCGTACACCTGAAAGTCTACCTCGGTGTCCAGAATCTGTTGTTTGTGTTCACTTAGTGCCTGTACATTTGGGTCAAGCTCTATGGTAGTAACCTCATTGCGGTCTGAGTCGAGCGCCTCGTGTGCGTCTTCAGCAAACGCCTGCTCCTCACCTCTTGCCACAGCGTCCTCGTCTGTCAGTTCCTCATCTGCTGCCGCATACAGGCCAGCTGCAATGTGCTCAGCCGGAATCACGTTGCCGTCCTCATCCACATACTCAATCTCACTCCCACTCCCGCTTTCTTCTTCACTGCTGTATTCGTCCTCGTGTGCGTGTGCTGGGCTCTCATCTCCGTCGCTTTGTACCTTCCACAGGCCCTTGTCCAGTTCTTCTGCGGGGATGACATTCCCGAACTCATCGACAAACTCCACGTCTGTATCAGAATCTTCATTGTACTCGCTTACCGCATCAGAATATGCTTCACTTTGGTCACTATTAACACTCTTGCTGCCCGCGGGTAAGGGTGCTGCCTGTACACTCTTTGTGGGGTGTTTTAGTTCAGTGTCGTCGTCACTATCATATGCACGACTGGTGCATTGCAATATTCGGGGGACGATAAGCGAAGAATGAGAATACGGGGTTAATGATTGATAGACGATTTGAAAGCCGTACAAAACAAAAAGGGATTTTAGATATACAATTATTGATATATTTCGAACAATTATTCAATATATTCTACGAGTAAGTCAAGGGATAGAAGTCAGATACTAGTCAAGAATACTCGTGCATGGTACAACAGAGGTGAATGAAAGGTGGACGCAGGCGCCGAAAAAAATTATGCAGAAGCAATGTATAAATATCATTTTGTACTTCACAAAATGCGGAGTGATCTACAACTCAAAATTAGGTCCCGCCCAGGCAGTCCACACACCTGTCCTTCGCCCTAGACGCCTTTGGGGTATTTGCCTCCGTCTCCGAATCCGACACGAAGTCGTTGTTTGCCTCTTCTGCAACATCCGTATCTGAATCGGCATCACTAGGTGGAGCGGCTTCGACTTGCTGCATCCAAGCTGCATAGCATTGTAACAAGACGCAAGTGTGAATAGAAAAGGACATCAAAAGAACAAAAGAATATCCACAGAAATTCACTTTGAACTGTAAAGTGGTCTTCAGCAGGCTGATTCGTGCATATACGTCGGCTAACATTGTAGCGCCTGCTGATAATGAGTTTAATCCTGCGAGCACATATGTTGGTGTATGAAATACAACCGGCTGTATGTAGACCGTATTCACTAAGCCATATCGGCACAGCGTGACCGATATGCGCAAAGTGTCACGAGACGGCTATCATGCTAGTCAAGGCCACTTATTGTATGAACACAACGACACTACAGAGTACATATAGCAACCACTGCAAACTATGTGGGCCTACCATTGATACCGCTATCGACAACCACTGGAGCTTCAGCTGAGATTGCAGCATCGATGTGCGCGGAAACATTGTCACCTTCGCCATTTCCAGAAAGGACACTCAGCATATTTTGCTCGAGCCTTTGTGACTGTTCCAGTGAGTGAAAAGTGAGCATGAGTGAGTTTAGGTGGTCCGGAGAAATCATATATATGGACCGAAGCGTAAGTGCACTTTTTTCAAGTAGCATCCCCCACAAAAAAAAAGATCATTTCACCACGTACAAGATGTTGACCTTTTAAGCATAGCTGTTATTCGTTACCATCCACAGTACATTCTCCCATATATTTTTCAGTAAGGATGCTATTCACATCAACTTCTATTTCGAAAGCATATAGCAATTAATAATTGTACTCAGTATTGCATATACTACTCGGTGATACAGATGAGAATGATTATCGAGTAGTACTGTCCAGGAATAGAAATTGACGATTGCAACAATCGAGAATGATTCATATACTTTCAACACATCTGCCGAGTAGATGAAGTGTTCATGCCCAATAACGTACGTAACAGTACGACGAAATCAAGTATCTAATTAACGAATATCTCACTTCACATCGAGCGCTACCAAGGCAAATACATCTACAAATAGAGAAATAAAAGCTGTGAATGTGAGAGCACCTCGTACTGAGCTACTTCACATGTACAATAGTCAAGCCGAAAGTAGCGCTGTTAAGGTACATGCACACGTACACTATTGCCAATGACATCCCATGCACAATGCCATGCTAAATCTCGAGGACTAACACTATTGCTTATTGTTATATGAATACCTGTTGAAGTTTTGAGATTATACCCATCTAAACACACATGTATACATTTGATCAGACTACTGCTCGAAATTCCATGTATCGACGAGCAGATTATATCTTGATATCCGTAATGTTACCGTGCAGACAAAACAGATGATCCTTAGCGTAGAAGCTATCGTGCTATCGTACTATCGTAGGTCACATTGTATTCGTATGAGCTCACTATGCTTTCTAAGCCCCCCCCCCCACCCTCGATAGTACATATGCATGTGCTAATGGCACGAGATCGAGTGCCAAGCTAAGGAAACGCATAGGTGCACTGATATCACGAATCACAGCGCTTCCACAGGTATATTGGACTACAGTGCGGAAATTCTATCCCCGAGAATCGCATCGAAGTTAGTTCGTGTGAACAACAAAGCACACCACACACACACTGACTTGCAATACAAACAAACATTCACTACTTATACACGATATATCTGTGTTCATTTCATACCTAAAAAAATGTGCACGTAGTTACATGGGTGTTTATGCAGTGATCTCGCGGATAGTATTTATGAAGTTGGGATGAATACAAAAAAATCATGAAACACTAGCGCTTCACTGTAACAAAATACACATACGTGCATGTGTACGTGAAATACCCGACTAGTAGAATTTTCTTTTAATCAGAGCATTCTTAAACGGACCGGAAGGAGATATATATATACATTGTAATATATTTATAAATATATATCTATATCTATATTTATATCTATATCTAGATCTAAATATATATATATATATACATATATATAATATATATATATATATATATACACACACACATATATATATATATATATATATATACATATATACATATATATATACAGTATTCTAGAGCTAAGTTGACAGAAAAACATAGACATAAAGATACAAACATAGTCAGCTTCTCATCTACATAACCATACAAACAAGGAAACATCACATGCACAATCAACTTACATGGTCTAGGCCTTCATCGTCCGACGCTCCCGAGATCAGGCTCACGTGGCTGGCGCCCGCGCTCTCGTTTGACATCTGCGTGTTGAGTACATTGGGTGCTTGTAGCTGTTGCTCTTGGCGTTGTTCATTGTTTTGTGCATGTACTTGTTGTCCTCCGTGATTTTCTGTCGGGGTGGAAATATCCACTCTATTGACCTTGGGCGACCTTGTGAACGGGCTATGTGCCTCTCTTATATCATTACTATTATTTGCATCATTTGATGTAGACGCAGTGTCGTTCGTTTTGTTATTCCCGCTCATTTCATCATCGGTTACCACAGCCTCACTACCTGTGGGTGTTGTCAGCGTGCCCTGTTTGGCCAGCTTCTCGTGCACCTGTGTGTCGACATCTGTGAGAATACCTCGTTTCACGGCCTGGTTCTCGATGCCGTCCATCACAGAGCTAAACCATCCCATCTCGTTAAATTATTGTATACTATTGCAGGGACTATGTATACATACCAGAGTATTAATCAGTTGTAACTTCTAAACGCGTGGCAGAAGTGACCCATGTTCAGACGAATACCCGACTATTTACACGCAAGTATTTTTAAAATATATAACTTTTTTACTTTGTTGATTTAACAGGACAATTTTTTTTTGAGGATGTATGTTACGTTGAAAACCGTTAAAATTAATTCCAAAAAACCCCCCCCCCATTCTTGTATTATACGTTCAACTTTTGTTTTAAAAACAAAAAAATATTTTATATGCAATATGAACATAGAACTAACCGCTATTGTATGGCGTACAGGTTTCTAGAAACGAAAAACGTTAAACCGTTTCTACACAAAAAACTGACGAGTCTTCGAGTTCCAGTTGTTGACGTCGGTTCAGAGTTCAGAAACTTCAGAGTCAGACTGAGTCACGAACCCACGATATTTATGTAAGCAAGACGGTCCCGAATAAAATGTACTGATATTCTTGGAGCAAAATTCCTATGCCTTCACAGCTCCCTTATTGGTCATAAGTTTAAGTCCGTGGCATCTGATTTTCTTTTTCTTTACATTTCGTAGCTATTGGTCGAAACAACCTGAACCTGCAGAAATAAAAAGCAGGTATATTTGTCGGCAGCGTACCAAGTATATACTATATACTAACTCGAAGCAGAGCTCAATACGTTACGATATGTCCACATATAAGGTCAACGTAAAGACGAATTTTTATAATGGATAAACGGTATAACTTTGGGGGTCAAATATAGTGAATAAAATTTAAAAAATTGCACTTGCCATGTGCACCTATTTCAGACGAAACGGACCATTTAGCTATAATTCACTTTCACTGCTGCTGGCTATTTCTGGCGCCAAAATTTAGGAACACAATCGGATCATAGTATGACCTCATGAATGTACCCAGCCATTTGAGAGATGGACTATATGGTAAATAAAAGTTGTACGTAAATCGATAGTTTTATTATTTCTTATAAACATTATATCGGATAACGTTTTTAGTGTAGACTCGAAGTCTCAATTTTACAGAGATGAATTATTTCCGTAAAAGCCTCGGGATGTCTATGTGTGGCTGTGTGCATAGCACGTTGGCTCTGCACAACAGCTATGTTTACTCGAGACTGGGCGACATGCATTCGTTATAAAACTCAGAACTAAGTATATATGAATTCGTATCGGAGGTATGGTATTTACGATGCCATTGTCTTATCTTAACAGGACATCCCTCTTGTGGACCGCTACAGAGTCGTATACAGAACAGAACTGAATAGCAATAAATGTTAAAAACTGTGGCGGTGGTCTGTTTTACGTCCATGGCCTTGTCGAATATAACTAATCATCGGTTAAAGCAGCTTAGAAGTACGCTGTGTATTTTTTTGCCGAGCTTGATCAGTAAATCATATTTAGTACCCATATGGCAAGAATTTTATTTACGCTATCGTACTTCTAATCGCATATCTACGTTGACTAGGTTGTCCCAAGTGAACTCTCCGTATTTGTGGAATCCACTTTTTTGGTAAAAGTGTACAGCACTCGCGTTCGTCTGCTGCACCCCACCTAGAAGAACTATACTGCGGGCACGAATATCCTCAATATGCTTTTTCACGACCGGTATAACGCTGGAGGCAATTCCTCTGTGAATCAATGAAACCCAGACATATTTAAAGAAATAATAAATGGTATAATGTATACAGAATAGCAGTTTAATCTCAGGCGCCAATTTTTACGACTTTACTTTCTTACTAAGCGATAAAAATCCAATGATGGGATTTGAAATGATGAAAAGTGTAGTAAGGTTGGAGAACCATACCTGTTTTGATACTTGTCACCCATCACTGGCGCGAAGAAAATATCCACTGGTGACTCGAGGTGTGTGTTGTACAATTTCCTGTAACGCTCATGTTCATGTGTAATCTCACTCTGGTCCATCAGTATATATCCCACCACTTCAGGTCTGGATTGGGTATACAATCCCATCATAGGAGTATGAGGCAACAAACAAAACTTGCTTCGAAATAAAAGACCGCAATTATTTGATACGTGTATTGTCGCAACCTATAGGTTTTATCACTCCAAATGATCACGAAGTTATGCTAGCAAGACTTATAGTACTACATCGCACAGCCCAACAGTGTCCATAAGTTATATGTTATTTGACTGATATAAACAAAGGCCAGCAACCGTTCTTACTTTGGACCCGGCGATATGATCAGCAAATGTGTCTTCAATCGGTTAGCATCCGAGCCGTAGTCGCACGCCTCTGCGGCATACTCGGCTGTGAGTGGATGAGCGCCATATCGTGCCCTTGTTTCCGGTCGCAAACCAGTCAAAAACGTTGACAGCATATCAGTATGACTAGCTTTGGCGCACGCTATATTGAAGGACAGCACACCTGATGGGGGTTTTAGACGCGATTTCAGCACTAGTTGCCCATAGGTAGAGTTGCGTTTAATCATTTGTCTTTTGTATAGATAGCCCTTCAGTACACGTATGCTAAATTCGATCACTTCTCCGTAGCAATTATTTGGTACCCAAATGATGATACACAAGAAACACAGCCCTGAAGTGCACTCCGGTTGATATATGCTGCAGTATGTACATTATAGCCTGTGAAAAATTGTGAAAAATAACTACAAACCCCCTCCGGTGACCTACATACCTCCAGCTGTCGAGAAAGTAACTTCTTTAAATTTCTTCAGCCCATAATCTTGCCACTCTGGATAATCTGCTACCAGTAAACGTGGCCGATATATCTTTAGCACAGCATTTGGGTTTGAAATACCTAGATTTGCACCGCATTCGTTATCGCAGATACGTACTATGATCGAGACGACATTGAAAATACACAAGAAAAGAAATAGAAAGCAAGGGGATGCAGCTACAGACCTGGGAAGACCATGACCTCTTTTCTACAAACATTTGAAACACATCCTACATCAACCGTGGGATGCTGCAGCCGCCTGTAAAATCGCCAGGGTATCCATTCAGAATAAGTCGAGCGTGGAATGAATTTAACTGTGTACCGGGAAATAGCGGAGGAGCTGAATGGCAGCGCGTCCTGTTCCTCCTATTTGAAAACGTTACTCAATAGCAATACATATGACCGAAAACAAAAAACTCACTCACAGTAGATCCGCATAGAGACATCAGTTTCGCCTACCAAGACACTTTAGTTTGGGTATTGTGCCTGCACAAGATAATATCTGACGGCGTAAACTGCATAGGGAAATGTAAATACCTGTTCAATCCATCCTCCCAGCAAACCTGAGTGGTACCCGCATAACGTACAATTATCAGCTTGTACTCGACGTCCAAATTCTCTTCAGCGTCACGATAATAGTCTATAGTCTTCTGCCACGTGCCATCGTCGCACCATACCTAAAACGCGAAACGGGCGATATAAGCATGTATTTAACACACACCAACAAGTAAGTGGTATCTCATAATCAGTTACATGAGCTCGCCGTGAAGAGATTCAATACCAAACACTTCGATGCAAATCTATTCGATGAATTTCATTGCCCTGAGGCGTCCGAAGGGGCGGCGATGAACACGATACGCGAAATAACAATCCAAAGAAGGCATGCAAGATATGATGAAAGATAAGAAGTTTTTGTGAGGCGCATTCAGAAGCACGTAAAAGCTTGCGTGCTTTCAACATTTCGCAGTGAGTGCACTGAAAAAGACGCTAGCGCCGTATATTGGTCAAAGGCGGTACATGAGTGACTATTCCGATATTCACGTACTCTAGCGAATGACGCCACAGAATCATACAATATTCACGCTCCAAAATATTTTGCATGCATAGAATTGGCCCTTTACATTGCCTATTTACACCTCCACCCAGACATTATGCATAGTACAATACGCCTTTTCATTTAATGAGGTTGTAATCGGCGTTCGGATTATATTTGAACAGCCTAAATAAACCATGCGCGCTTAAGACTAGCACGCAACATTCACCCCTCGACTAGAACATACCAAGTTCTCTCTGCTAGCCACATTCCACTTGCCAATCTCACTGGAGCTGCCTACAATGGCCAAACTTTCGCCATATTCCGTATTACACCTTATAATGAACCTAACACGCACCCAGTATCCTCTGAGTGACGATTTACTATCTCCTGACCGTCTAAGCCCGGCGGGGGATACTTTCGGCATTGGCGATGCTGATGATAGAAAAGAAGAACATTCAAAACGATGATCAGATCGGTCAATATATGCGTGTACATCCGATGTGGGTATTACTAATA